TGATAGAAAAGTACCGCTTAGACTGAAAGGAAAGTTTTATAAGGTGGTGGTGAGACCTGCAATGCTCTATGGTGCTGAATGTTGGCCTTTAAAAGAGAAGCATAAAACTAAGTGTTGCTGAGATGAGAATGATTAGCTGGATGAGTGGCTTTTGGCTTTACTGGATGAGTGGCTTTACACTTAGAGACAAAATGTGAACTGAATATATCTGTGATATGGTTGGTGTAGCTTCATTGACGGACAAAATTAGAGAGAGTCGTCTTATATGGTTTGGTCACATTAAATGTCGACCATTTAATGATCTGATTAGAAGAGTAAATGTTTTAGATTCGACTTATGTTAAGAAAGGAAGAGGTAGACCTTGGAAGACTTGGGCATATTGTATAAAAAATGATATTAATTTATTAGAATTAAATGAAAATATGACACTAAATTGGATGCATGGAGAAAAAGGATTCATGTAGCTGACCTCACTTAGTGGGATAAAGGTTTTGTTGTTGTTGCTGCTGTTTATCTCTTTATCATGGCCATTGTTGATATATTATTATCAACATATGCAATTAGTATGGTTGACTTTCATTGTGTATGAGCCTATTTGAATCCTTGTGGGCCTATAGTTTTGAAAAACCATTTGAACTACGCTCTATGTGACTTGTTAGAGTTTATGACTTCTAGAGTAAGATTCATGGATATTTCTTTATTCAAATCCATATTTAGGAGCGCATTTTAACATCTAGTTGATGAAGAGGCCAGTCGAGGTTAAGTTTCCATGGTCTGAAGTACGTAAATTGTGTTAAGTTTAACAATAGAAATGAAGGTCTTTGAGTATCTATCCGATAAGTTTGCAACGCGCCATGCCTTTTATTTTTCAATGGTTCCAGATTTATATTTGATGGTAAAACCCTTTTACACCCAACTTGGAATCACCATTACGTTTTTGGACAACTTATAAGATTCATTTTGTTAAAGGCACCATTTCATCTTCCATAGTCATTTTGATTTATGAAGGGTGTTTTCTTATATTTTGGAACACCAATTTATTTTATTTTGGAAGCTAGAATTTTCATTGACATATGTTTATATCTTACAACATTGTTATAGGATATTAAGTACAGTCGCAAGCACTTTTTCATGAAGGGATTTTAATGTCAGTGGGAAGGAGGGACTGTGAATTACCCGATTTTAGGTAAGATTCATGACAAGCTTCAAGTGGGTTGAAAAGGTTTCAACTCTGTGAATTCTTCGTTGTCTCTCTACCCTTGAAGGGAATTTTTATGGCAGAAGGGTTTATTTTTTAATAAGATGACGTTCGTACACATATTTTTGTGGACCACATCCAAGAAAGATAAATTTGAAGGCCTTGAGATCTACTTTATTGCTATAAGATTCATGACTGTGGATACAAATATTACATCCAAAGACTTTAAGGGGTAGATTTGAAGCCGTTCAAATGTTTCCAAAACATTTAGAAAAAATATTATAGGGTTTTGAAATAAAGCACATTTGTAGCATTTTATTTGTATGATAGCAGCCTATAAGAATTAAAAAATTTCACTCAAAAACATTAGGAGTGCATGTGATTAACATAATTGATATTGTGAAACCCCTTGAGTACAATGAAGCTGAACTTTTAAACATCAAGGCACCTTTTAATGTAACGGTTAGGGTTTCAATTGAAACCTCAAAGTTAAGCATGCTTGTATTGGAGCACTCTCAAGAAGGGTGACCTCCTGCGGAGTTACACCAATTGAGTGAAACCAAATCTTGTTTTTCAATTAAATTTGTAAGGTGTTATTTTAGTAGTGCTTTCATGAGGACCCTTTGATTAATGGTGTTGATATTGAAGGAGAGTCAATCTTTTCCTTATATTTGCTTGGCTTTGTTAGGGCCATTTGTAGCCATCTGCCATCTTGATTAGCTCTGAAACATTGGCCATTTAAATTCAGGTTATATGAACGAAATTTGGAATGAAAATAGGGAAATTTACATGCATACCACACAATTCTTATGTATTTACATATATAACACCCTAGGTTTGATATTTACAGTTTAACACCTTGTTGTCATAAATCCTATGGATAAAAAGGTGTATTTCACATTTAAAAAAATAGTGATGGTTGTATTTTTGATGTGATGTTAAATATTTGAATGTTTAGCAACCCACCATTGGCTAAGCACGCCACCTGATTGTTCTTTTCCTTTCTGAGAAAAAAAAAAGCCTTCAGAGGTTGAGCTGTTTTTCAACATAATTTACTTTATTTCTTAGTTTTTTAATTAGGAAGATTTACATACATTACACTCAATTCTTATGTATTTACATATCTAACACTTAGACTTCAATTTTTACATATATGTCACCTTACCTGCTCATGAAAATGCATATTTCACTATTTAAAAGTTAAAATAATGGAGCGATTCTCGTTATGGAGGGGCGATTTACGTCCATAGAGGGGCGATTTACGTCCATAGACGGGCGATTTTTGTCCATGGAGCGCAAATTTACGACCCTGCAAGAAATGATGAAGAAAGAGATCAAGTTTCACGCAAACTCCCGCCTGCAGTAGGATCGAGCAGCGGTGTTAGGACTGGACTGAGAGGCAGCCCTTGGAAAGAATAATGTGTCATTCGGACAGTGGGAATGAGCATTAGCAGGCGGATTAGGATGGCGTGCTATCAAGAACTAAAGATCAATTCTAAGGATTTTGACCAGGAACATGGAACCACGGTGGGTGGGACACCAATAGAGGGTTGCATCCAACTATGTCAGGGTCTTTTGTTGCAGCTGCCATTTGGGCGGAAGGCGAGGCAGGAGCTTATGAGGACAGACAGGCTGACTATGGGATAGCTAGACCTATGGAAGGATGGAATTCACTATAGGATGCAGCATGGAACCGAACCCCTACTTCATGGGCAGAATGAACTTTGGTCCAGAGAATTGAGGAGGAAACTCACTCATAAGAAAGTTGAAGATGTCGATCTTTGATGGGGAAGACGCACTTGGGTGGGTGTACCGAGTGGAGTGCTATTTCATGATGAATGGGCTAAATGGGGAAGAGAAATTCATGGTGATAGGGTTATGTTTGGAGAGAAAGGCCATAATATGGTTTCAGTTGAGAGAGGCTAAATATCTGGTTCGCTTGTGGGAAGAATTTAAGGATTGCTTATTGCAATATTTTTGAGTAATTCGAGAAGGGGATCTACACGAGCAATTCTTTGCATTGACTTAGGAAGGGACTGTCAGAAAGCATAGGGAGAGATTCAAGCTCTTGTCGGGACTGCTGAGGGGGATTTCTGAAACAATATTTGGGGGAACTTCATGAAGGGCCTAAAGCCCGACATATGTGCAACACTTTGTTTGCTGAGACTGTGAGACTTTGGAGAAATCATAGAATTAGCGCAATTGTTTGAAGATCATAATGTAATGGAATGGGCTAATAGGAGCAGCATAGGTGGATCGTCATATCGAATTGCTACAACCACGACGATACCAAAAGCTCAAATCGTGGATGTTCAGATGGTTGTTTCATGGGTCACGACATGGAGCGACATTCAAGCGCCTGATAGAGACGTATTCAGGAGAAGTTAGCCAAGGGGTTATGTTTTATGTGTGATGAGAAGTTTGCCGCAGAACATCGTTGCAATGATCGAATAGTATAGATTTCCACAATGAGTGACGAGGAACCAAATGATGAAGAAACAAAGAAGATTGTGATGGGGAGGGCACTCTAATTATTTCCCATTTTGATGATAAGATGTCTTTTTCGGTGGGGATTGTTGTTAAATCGGTGCTGAAGGGCAATTTTATCTTTTGTGCGCCCAAGGGCAATCCAGTCTTTTATCATTTATTACTGTTTAGTATAATAGGGCTACATATGTTTAGGATTAGGGTTATGCATGAGATCGTGTCTGGAGTCTTAGCTTTAGTGTTTGAGGAAATCTCCCGAATTATAGGAATTGGGAGAGGTCGCATTTCTCTCGAATTGTAGGTGCTTATCTTTGTGATGTTCTTGCAATAAAATATTTTTTGCTTTAATTTAGAATTATATTTAATGCTTGATGAACTCGACTCACCTATAACACAATGGACCCCTGAACTTGACCCGATTAACCCGTTTTAACATATTTATAAACAATTATATATGAAAAAATTAATACAAAGAGGATTCATAAATACATAATAAGATATTATCTTATCAAACGGTAAATGTGAATTAACTGTAATGAAGTTAAATATGAAAGTTATGCGGGTTAGCTGGTCCAAATCGGTTTGGCAGGTTAGAATTTTCAACCCAAACTTAACCCAAAAGAATTGTGTCAAACCCAAACTTGGATTTTCCCGGTCAGGATTGTTGGGTTGATGTGTTGTGATTTCTCATTTATTGATACCCCTGTATAATATCAACAGCTGCCATTTGCAAATTTGCTATTGTGATTCCTTTGATTGATCTGTATTCTTTAATTATTTAATACTATTAATTAATGTATGTCTGTTTCTAATGGCCATAGATGCAATCTACACCTATGATTGTTCTTAAATTTTTAGATTGAACAGATAATTGAGCACTTGCGGCTACTTAACTTCTCCATTTCGATGCTCAACTTGATGGACTTTTTGATAATTACTGCGCTTATTTGCCGAGACTAACCTCAGTTGCTTCTGCAGCGTGAGCTTCTTATTAGGGCCATTTACATACACAATGTATTTTCATATCTAACACCTAAAATTTAATTTTTACATTTATGACATCCAAATCTCTCGAATCATACAAAAAATACCATCATTTTAACTTTTTAAAAACCTTCCATGCATATGTAAAATAATATGTATGCAAAAAATTGAAGTTTAGCTGTTAGATATGTAAATATATAAGAATTGAGTGATATTTATGTAAAGTCTTATTATTTTTGCTCTTTGATTTGTCACTCCATGGTACCCATACATTGATCATGATACATAAATTGATTGATCCTCATTACTTTTCCTACGCCATTCTCCACAGGACTACTTCTCAAAGTGGGGAGATAGTGGAACCGTCGATTTAAAGTATGAACTCGAGCACCTCATCATCTTGACTGCCAGTCGATGCCTTTTAGGTCGTGAAGTAAGAGACAAGCTCTTCGACGACGTGTCTGCTCTTTTCCATGATCTCGACAATGGGATGCAACCAATCAGCGTCATCTTCCCCTACCTCCCAATTCCGGCACATCACCGGCGTGACAGGGCTCGGCTCCGAATATCCGAGATCTTCGAGTCCATCATCAAATCCCGCAAATGCTCCGGAATCGCGGAGGACGACATGCTGCAGTGCTTCATCGATTCCAAATACAAAAATGGCCGTCCAACAACCGAAGGTGAGATTACAGGCCTTCTTATTGCCGCCCTGTTCGCCGGCCAACACACCAGCTCCATCACATCCACCTGGACTGGCGCCTATCTACTGAAATATGAAGAATACCTATCGGCTGCGCTCGACGAGCAGAAGCAACTGATGAAGAAACATGGTGACAAAGTCAATCACGATATCCTCTCCGAGATGGATGTGTTGTATCGTTGCATCAAGGAGGCGCTCCGGCTCCACCCTCCTCTCATCCTGCTCCTTCGCCAGTCGCATAGCGACTTCACCGTGAAGACGAGGGAGGGAGTCGAATATGAAATACCAAAGGGACACATTGTGGCTACCGCTCCGGCCTTCGCCAACCGGCTTCCGTCGATCTATAGGGACCCCGATACGTACGACCCCGACCGGTTTTTGCCGGGGAGGGAGGAGGACAAGGCGGCGGGAGCCTTCTCGTACATCTCGTTTGGTGGTGGAAGGCATGGCTGTCTCGGCGAACCGTTTGCTTACCTGCAGATAAAGGCAATTTGGAGCCATCTACTGAGAAACTTTGAGTTTGAGATGATCTCGAGCTTTCCACAGATTGACTGGAATGCTATGGTGGTTGGTGTGAAAGGGGATGTCATGGTGCGATACAAGCGGAGGAAGCTCTTGGTTGAGGAATGAATTATGATTCTGAGTCAGCTTTGTGCTTGTTTTCCTTGATGTTTTGGGATTAATTGATCAAATTTATTGTTTTGTGCTCTGTTCCTGAACATTGTTTCATTTTTCTTTCTCAGCTTGTTTTGCATTCCTTAATCTGAAGCATTTTTTTCTCTTGATCTTTGTGTAACTAAGTATCTTTCTCAATAGTTTAGCTCTTGTTCTTGAAAATCAGGGGTATTTTGGTAAATTTGAAAAAAAAATTGGGGCTTTTTTACTTGCATACCACCCAATTCCTATGGATTTACATTTCTACCCCCAAAACTTTTGTTTTTTTAATATTTATACATCCAAAATCTTTCATTTCTCATTAAAATACCACCTTTTGTACTTTTCAAAAGTGAAATTCACATTTTCATAGATGGGAAAAGTAGCATGCCTATATGTTTATATGCATGGGAGTTAGATATGTAAATGCATAAGGAATTGTGTTATGTATGCAAATCTTCTATAAAAATTATGCGAGAGTATTATGTCTTTACAGGGGATTAAATATTGTTGAATTTATATTAAATTTAGTGTAATATTTATTTTTCATATGCAGAATTTATTTTGTCGAAATTTTTCAAGCTCATCTGGATACAATTGAGGTGATAATTTCTTGTCGAATTTTATGCTTTAAAAATTGTTCAATTTTTTAGTTTTCAGAAAAACTTTTACGTACCTCACAACTCTTATGAATTAAAAGATCTATATCAAATTTTGATATTTATCTATACATTTGACACATGTTTATTTTTTTCATGAATTAGGGATGATGAAGTTATAAAGTTGATCAATGTAAATGTATAACAGTAAGTCATCGATAATAGTTGTAGTATGAACATAATGAATGTAGCTCCTAGTGATAGTGGACTACAAGTGTCATAATTGATTGCTATGGAGACAAGTTTATTGTGAATGTTGTAGACGGTGATTATAGCATCTGCTTGTCACATAGGCCAAATTGAAATCTATGGTAGTGGTTGGTCGTGTGGGTAATAGATGGTTGTTTCAAGAGCGTCAATTGACTATAGAGGCTGAAGTAGAAAACTGCAGCAGCTGTGAGTCAAATATATTGTAGTTGGCCACATAGGCTGTGGTGGTGAATGACGATGACTTCTAAAAGAAGCAGTGGTCGGAGTTGGGAGCTGCACGAGCTATGATCTACTTAGGTCGTAGTTAATCACGTAAGCTGAGTGGTGAGCTGTGATGATGTTCATAGACCATAGAGGCTATAGTTAAAAACTGCGTGAGTTGTGGACCAAGCGGGTCGTAGTTGGTCACTTAAATTGTTGTTGTGAGTTATGATAATATTCGTAGGCTGCAAAGATCAGAGTTAAAAGTTGCCAAAGCCATGCACTACGTAGGCCATAGTGACGAGCTGTGATGATGTTTGTAGGCTACAGAGGTCAAAATTAGAAGCTGCACGAGTAGCGGACCACGTTCTCGTAGTTGGTCACATATGTTATAGTGGTAAGCTGTGATGACATCCATAGGCTGGAGAAGATGAAGTCGAGAGTTGCATGAGCTGCGGACAATGTAAGCCATAGTTGGTCACATAAGTTATAGTGATGGATTGCAAAGAGGGAGCTTTAAGAGTTTGGAGAAAGTCGTCATCTTCAGGGTGCTTTGTCTTACCATCTTAAGGAGACGTCTTTGCACCGTATGTAGGGTGTGTTGTTACATCATCTTCAAGGTGTGTTATTTTACAATATTCAAGGTGCATTAATAGATCTTTTTTGGGAGGCATCGTTGCACTGTATACATGGTGCATTTTTGTACAAGATGTCTCCTTACTCTGTAATGTATGTTGAGATTCTGCAACACACGTGATTTCACAACGTACGTCGTGATTCCACAAGTGGTTTTATTGTAATGAGTCAGGGCGGCTGATGATGGTCAACGATGGCCATTGAGCAGTGGTTGACAGTGGTCGTCAGTTGCAGGTTTGAGAGGTATTCACCGAATCTCCAATGTATAAGCAATGTTGGACTTCAGCTCTTCCAAGTTTCAGTCTTCTTTTGGCTCAAGATCTCCCTCTTATATCAAGAGGGGGAGCTGGACTCTATTTATAGAGTCTGGGAGAGGCATCTCGGCAAAATTAGAAAGAAAGTCGGACCAATCCATCAAACAACCCAAAAAGATTCGTTCGATCAGATAGCATTTGATGAACATTTGAATGTATTAATGATGTCAAAATTGATTGATCTTATGCTTGTTGAATTCTTCTTGCTGAAACGCTTAATTGAATATAATCTTGTGAGATTTGAAATCTGTTTAACCGTCAAATTATATATTGAAAGCTTACAAAAATGGTTTAACAGCTTGATATGGGCTTGATTTGACTTGGATTGGATCAATTTTGGTACCGTTGGGTCTGTCTCGTCAAGCTCATTAGTTTGATTATAATATAATGTCAGAGTTCTAGATGATTTTTAATTAAAGTTTGAATATTATTGCTTAAAAGGTTGCATTGAGATTCGTGTCAGATGATAAATTTGTTGATGAGGAATCAACTGTCTCTTTAATTTAGCTTGACACTAACTTCATCTTCTAAAAATACTATAAATTCAGATTTTGATTTCCCCCCTTTCTCTTCTTTTTTATAATAGGGTCTTATATAGTGCTGACTCATTTGGCAAGTGGGGTGCTTTTGCTCTTTGTGGTTCGGGTTTAATCCCATGACTGCTTGAATGTTTGAAATTTTTTTTTTCCCGTCAGTAGGTTGGGACGAAACGACCAACATGTCATGTCGGCAAACTATCACAGCGAGATAATGGGTCAGGAGTTAGTTAGCGGGCCAACGCGGCAATCAGGTCCACGGGTTGTAGCCAGATCAAGCTTGCAGTCCGAGATGCGCAGTTGCACAATGCCCCCTCGTCGTTGCACATCACTCCCCATGTGTGTGGTCATGTGGCTCCCTTGCTCTGCGTGTTATGCACATTTGCAAATTATGTTTTGTGGTACAAAATCACATAGATCATGCGTGAGAGTCGTTTGATAGCATGAAATCAAGTGGTTCTGGTGTGTTGTTGCAGGAACACATGAATTTTGGTCATTTTTAGACATTTTTGAGTTTTTTTGGGTCATTTTAAGCCTATAAACATGCTAGAAAAACTATGAGAAAAATGAAGTCCCCCAGCTTATTAGCGAGCGATAAATAGGACCCAAAAAAAAAGTAAGTAGAGTCCCCTGACCTGCTACTGGGTGATCAACGAGACTCTCAAAAGAAAAAAGGTTGAGTCCCCTCGACCTTCTAGTTGGCGATCAACGAGACTCCAAGAAGAAAAAGTTAGAGTCCCCCTGCCTGTTAGTATGCAATCAACAAGACTCCTAGAAGATAAGAGGTCAAGTCACCCAACTTGCTAGCTGACGATCAACAAGATCTCTAGCAAAAAGAGAGTGGAGTTCCCTTGCATGCTAGCAGGTGATCAACAAAACCACTTAAAAAAGAGAGGTGGAGTCCCTCAAACTACTAGTTGGTGACTAGTGAGATCTCTAGAAGAAAGACAGTGGAGTCCCCTGACCTGCTATCAGGCTCTCTTGCTTGTACGATCAACGAGGCTCTCCTTGGGTTACTCTCTTTTTGTTCGTGGCATGATTCACACTCATCTCACCTTTTAGGATGTTGAATCATGATTTATTCATGAATCACAACCAAGGAACAAAGTGTCAATAAGGAGAGCAAGAGAGAAATATAGGAGTGAACAGTAATGAACAATAATAAACCGTGTTTTATAAATGAAATAATCTTTTTATTTATAGGGAGGATGGTACAACATGATGATGTTATATTTTTGTCCTTGCTTAAATGGGGCCCGCATTAAGATTTTTTGGTGTTTTACATGTATGAGATTCTCGTATGACTGCTCTATGGGCCAACTAAATTTGATTAGCTTAATGGGCTTCGAGTTGGCAAAATCAGCTTGGTCGACTGAAATCTGTTCTGCTAAATCGGATCAACTCAGTCGGCTTAGTTGGTATGTTTGGTTGTTGCTCATTGACCTCTGATGAGGGGCCTCTATATGTTATTGGGATGGTTGAAGATGCTAGGAGACTAGATCTTTCTTGGATCCACTTTTCCATAATGGTTGGCTTCAAAAGCCTCTTTGTCTCGTTTTTGACAGGATGGTTATGTCTCAGATTATTTTGGCTTATTTTTGTCCTCCTCATGATATGTCAGCTTTAGCTTGAGTAGCATCACTTGATCTGACAAATTGACCTTTCAATTTTCTGTAGGTAGCCCTTCTCGCCAAAATCTATTCTTCTGGATCGTGAGAACTTGTCACTTTTTTGTATGTGCACATGTAAATCTTCTTAAAAAGTGAATAATCTTTTCAAATATAGATAAGGAGGTATTTATGTTAATAATGAAGTTTAAAATGTTAGAAATGTGAATGCATAAAAATTGAGTGGTATGTATGTAAATCTTCAAGACAAATATTGGAAGTGCTTTTTCCACACTTATCATCTTACCAACTCAACCAAAATTACATATTTTAAAAAAAAAAATTATGTATTAAAAAAATCTAGAAATAAGTAAAAATAAAAGTAGCCCATTCGTCAACTAAGACCCTGTTTGGGACAGCTTAAAACAGTGAGCGGCGTTTTTGAAAACGCCGCTTACTGTTTGAATAACACGTTTACACTGCGTGCTTGAAATCGCGAATTTTATTTTACGAATAACGCTGCCCGTGGGATCATACCAGTGGTCGGCGTTTCCTTCTCGCGTTTTCTCCTGAATTACTCCGCTACCCTCGCGATTGAGCTCCTGCCCTTGCGCCTCTCGGATTCGACATTTCTTCCTCCTTCGCTTGCGATCGAGCTCGCAGACCCGCTCCCTGCTTCGTTCGCGATCTAAGTTGCGGCTCGCCTCTCGATCAGATTCCCTTTCAGTTTTGTTTCCGTTCGGATCAGTTCTCTCCAGCGAAGGAAATAACTGTAGCCCTTTCCTTCCTCCTCTCCGATTCGCTATTCCAGTGCTCCCAAGGACTGCCGAGTCTCTGGCTGGTTCGAGGGACCCGAAAACGATTCCTCTGCTGCTGCCGAGAAGATTTTGATGCTAACAGAGTTCTCCTATGATCTCAAATAAGAGCAATGCACAGACCTTTCCCATCTCTACTGCTGATTCAAGCTTCATCAACATGGTCAGGCTGGACTTCACCTCCAAACATGGCAGCTCGCA